GATCTTTGGAAGTCTGATGGTCAGACCTTTGAGACTGTTTGAATGTAGGTGAGGCAGTAGCAGGAACCAAGCATGGTAGCTACCAGTGAGGGAGCAAGTCGAGGGGCGCAGAGTGGGAAGATGGGACATTAGTGTTGGATGTGCTGAGTTTGGGGCAGGAGGTAGTTGGATTGTAGGTTAACGGAGAGTCATAAGCATGTAGACAGAAATGACTCCTCAGGAGTGGATGTGATTGTGTAGAATGAAAAGGAAAGAAGACAATGGCAGATATTTGAGGAACACTAACATTTAAAAGAAGAAAAGTGATGCAGAAAAAAAGATGTGGAGAAAGAGATTGGAGCAGTGGCCGGAGGAATGCCAGGGGAGTGTGCGGTCTTAAAGCAAAGGGAAGAAAGAGTTTTGAGGAGGGGATGTTCAACAGCTGCAGGGAACTCAGACTGGGGAAGGATAGAGATGTGTCCATTGAATTTAATGACAAAAAAGTTGTTGGTGACCATCAAAGAACATAGTGATTTTAGTCGTGTGTGTGTGTGTGTGTGTGTGTGTGTGTGTTTGCAGAAACCAGCCTGCAGCAGGTTGTTGAGTGAATGGAAGCAAAGGAAGTGGCAGCAACTCTTCCACAAAGTCTAGATGATCAGGGAACAGTGAAAGCTGAGGTCCCCTTGCAGCTCTGGACAGTTCACTTTGGCTCACTCAGGTGGCCTCCTAAGGACATGTCTTTATAAATTAGATCATTTCCCTCCATAAGTGCTCTGCCTGTTCCTAGCAACCCTGGTGTCCCCCACTTTCTGAGCCATGTTCCCAAGGTCTTGGCATCCTTCCTGTTTTCTCTCTCCCTCCCAAATTAAGTTAGGACCAGGGAGGCCCATCCAGAGAATAAGCGTGTGTGTTATATAGAGAGGAACAGCTTTAAAAATGCTATTCTTCATACATGACGACGTTTCTTGGCTAAATCGTTGTGTCAAATTTGAGATACTGAATGTGGCATTAATGTAGGAGGAAAGAGTGGCATCAAGACTAGAGGGAAATGTTTCTACATATATTAGTTATATTTTGGAACAGATGTAGCACCAAGAGTAAGAAAAAGCCATTCCACCACCAAATCTGATCATTCTAAATAATGTTTCTCTTCTTTTCTATTTTTTTTTTTGGTAAAGTGTATGTCACATAGTGAGTGAGTTCTGTCACAAATGATTGGACCATGCATATTGATTTCATAAATCAGTTAACTCCTTCAGTACATGCTCATAGCAGTGTAATTGGAAATCAGATCCTTTGGGGAAACTTTTATAGACTGGAGTGTAAACGTCTCTAGGTCCTCTCAGCTTTGCTGGCACCACAAGTCAGTTCAGTCTGAAGTCGCCAAGGGTGCAGAAGAACACGCCCGCCGGGGCTGCTGACTCTGAGAGCAGGGCAGACCCATCCCCGAGTGACAGGCTTGTCATTCCTGGGAAAAGCTGAAGAAGCCAATGGAATCGCTGGAGAAGAGGAGCCTTTGGGTGAAGGAAGGACAGCATCAGAAGGAAGGGGAGGCAGGATGGAGCGGAACACACCACTCTCCCAAGTTGGAGGGAACCCAAACCAGGAGGCGGCAGAGTCTCTAAAGGGGAAAAGGAATTCAGGCAGAACTGGGCATTTCATTCAGCCTTGTCAACAGTGCAGGGTAAATCACCTGCAGGGTCACTGAAGCAGAGTGTACAAATAAGCTTGAAACACTCTGATACTTATATGGAACAGCCGATTGAGAGCTGCACTAGCACAGGCAGAAAGAGAGGTTGAAAGTCTCAGAGACATCAGGTTTACTGAACCGCATAAGATCCTTTTTCCTGTTCAGCAATTTGTTGGGTTCTTTGGCTGATTGCTACTTTCCTCAGGCCCTCGCAAGCATTTTCATGGCATGTGGTACGCCCTGCCTCAGCAGACTCCTTCTCAGTTCAGAAACTCAGAGATCCCAGCAGACCTTGGGGAGGAGCTAGGCTGGAAGAAGGGCTATTGAGGGGAACAGCTGTACAAGTCCTCCCCCTTGTGTGTCTTTGCTGAGGCCATGGGAGCTTAGAGAGGGAGCAAGGAAAGCAAGAAGACAGTGGGACAGGAAGGGCAAAGAAATGAGAGGTTAAGTTCGGGGTGTGGAAAAAAGAAGAATGGAAGAGGAATTAAATTCATGAAGGTAGGAAGAGTAGATAGGCAGGAAAAAGTGGGAACATTTGAACCTTCAGGAGCCAAAAGTTCTACACGTTTGCTTGATATTTGCAGAGACAATATTACCACGCATCATCAGGCAGTGCAGTGTTAGATGGTTTACATACCAGTTCTACTTAATTTTTACAACCCCTATGGAAGTGACTATTCTTTTTATGTTGTCAAGATCTTGGAGGCTCAGAGAGGTGGCCAAGTTCACAGAGGTAATGTTTAGGGCTTTAGGATTTGAACCAGCCTCTGTCTGAATCCACACACTGTGTTCTGTGGCACATAGAGTGAGTTAAAAGGACAGGCAGATAGGTGAGGATAAACTGTCCAAAAATGTCAACTGTTCACAAGAGGCTGGCATCATAAGGAATAAACCAGATAGCAGATAAAGAAGGACAGCTTTTTCAGGAATAGAATTTTAAGGAGCAGCATTTTAAGCGTGTCAACTTTACTGCAGTATTAGAGTTTTATTGGAACATTAGTCACACATCACGTTAAAAATACTGGAGAAAGAGTTACGTGGACTGAAAATGATTGAAAGACTTTATACAAGGGCTAAATGGGGACAAGAGAAGAGAAGTGAGGAGGGGAATCTGAGAAAGGATGTGTGTGTGTGTGTGTGTGTGTGTGTGGCGGGGAGAAGGAGGGAGAGAGGTGAGTGTGTGGTGAAAGCAGTGGAGGAGGAGGGGAGGTGTGTGGTAACACTCATTCTGAGCTAAGACCGTTTCCATGGCTAGAAGATGAACAGATATTTGTAGCCGGGAGAACAAGTCTCCACCCACTCCCATATCCCACCCAGGGTGGATCTGAATAGAACTTTTTGGCCATCTCTGGTCTGTGTTCCATAAAGAAGCTAGAGTAATCTTTCTAAAGTATAAATTCAATTATTTAACTTCTCTGTTTAGAATCCTTCAATGGATGCCCCCCTGTGCTCCGAATAAAACTCAAATCCTTTCTATAACCTACCAGGCCCTGTATAGTCTGCCCCTGCCCGCTGCCACTCCAGCTTCACGCTCTGTACCGTAGCACTCTGACTTCTGCTCATTCGAGCTGAGACCTTTCCTGCCACAGGGCCTTTGTACATGCTACTGACTTTGAGAAGCTATTCTTCCCAGTTCTTACATATGACCTCATCAAAAAGGCCCTCCCTGGCCACCATATCTTAAGTAGTTTCCCTTCTTGCCTATCACTTCGCTCTTTTCATTTGTAGTGCTAAGTGGGAGTGTAATTATACATATTGTTTGTTCATTTGTTTTTGTATCTTCACTGGATTAGGCAGAAACTGATCTGTTTGCTGTGCCTGGTGACAGTGGACTTACTTGTTTATTTAATAAATGCCCAATGATAACAGTGTCTCCCTATGGCATTCAGGGTGGCACACACCCTCCCTGGAGTGGATCAGATCGAAGACAAAGAAAAGCAGCCAGTACTTGCAATGGTTTGATGAGGTCTCTGAATAGTCAGATGTGAAATGACTACAGGGGTCAGTGAGCTCTGTTGTATTAAAAGAGTATGACTAGGAATTGTCTCTGATGGAATATAGGTGTTTTAGGCATGGGTTTGAAGTTGAAGAATAAGCAAGGGAAAGCGAGTGTGCTGTGCTGCCCTCCGGGGCAGGCTTACACTGCGGTCAGCAGGCCGTGGAAGCGGACGTGTGGACTTTGAACACAGAACTGTTGTTTGCTCTTGGGAAATTCATGTGCGTGAAGGAGAGTGTATGCTTGTGTGTGTGTGTGTGTGTGTGCACTCACACACCAGTGGGAGCTGCCCTCTGGTGACCAGGAAGAAAGAGCAGCACAGTGACCTCTCACAGGGGGAGACACTGAGAGGGGCGGGCCTGGGGCCCCAGAGCTTCTTCCCTTGGCCTTTCTGCTTCAGCCTCGCCCCCTCCCCACCGCAGAACCCCCCCTCCACGCCCTCCATGTGCACCCTGTTCTGTCCTGAGTGACTCGGGCTCTACGAAATGCACTCCTGAAACTTGGGTTCTGTGTGTTGTACCAAGTAGGATGGATCGGATCCCAGAGGACTTCCTAAGGAACACGGGACCAGGCATTGGTTTGAAGTGGGAGCCTCTTCAGTGCAGAAAGGCAAACTTTAGGCAGAAAGTCTAGAAACTGGCGTTCTTCTTTGTGAATGTCTCACTTTCACTCAATGATCATTCGTGGGCTAATGTTTTCCTTTGGATTGTGGGAATCGTCTAGTTAGGATACCATGTAAAACGTTTCCTCTCATTTTATAAATCTCATTGGTGACCCCCTAATCTTCTAACCCAGTGTGTGGAAGAGGGGTGATGGGGAAGAAGGGAGGGATGTGACTTTCCTCGGGTCCCCTTCACGGAACCCAGTGTGAGGGTGGCCTGGGGTTCAGAGCCCAGAGAAAGTGAGGGACTCTGGTGGGCGGGGCTGTGAGCTGTGTGTGCGCAGAGGGGACAGGTAGCTTGCTGAAACAGCAGTTACGTAGGCAGTGGTCCAGAGGTAAGACCACTCCCCACCACCCCATCCTCCATAAATATACTCGAGCAATAAATGGGACCCTTCCTCTGCCACAGTGTGTCCCACTGGCCACGAGCATCACCCAAGGTCCTTGCTAAAGGCTCTACTCCTTGGGAACCTGAATGTTTTCTAAGCATCCAGGTGACTCTTCTGGTCAGGGAAGTATGGGACTCACTGCCCCAGAGGGAGGGGACCCTTCAGGGTGGGGAGAGGCTGACATTTGGGACGCTGGCTCATGAGTTACTCTGCTTCAGAGAGGAAGTGATGAAAAAGCCTTTCTAGGAGAGAAGCTTGTGGACCATCTCACTGAGAACAATAAGAGAAGAGCCAGGCTTTCAGTGGGCTTGATTCCTTTATTTATAAACCAGTCTTCCCACCTTTCTGAACTTCTTAACACAGATTCAAGTTGTCCAATCTGTTATCTTGACAAGCTGGTAATGACAAATCCTATTTTACATCTTTGAATGTTGCTCCCAACCACTCTACTTAACCTGGGGAGTGGGACCCACTGTGATGGGGGAGCGGGGAAGGGGAGGGCGTGTGCCTGCAGATTAAAAAAAAAACAGTTTAACTTTCAGAAGTCTTTGGATCTCTTCCGGGGGAAAGAGTATAAAGTTACCCCTTAGAACAGATCACACTCAGATTAGCCTGTTGTGTGGCACATTTTCTCCTTTATTTTTAAAAGTCACTTCATCCATATCCTTTCTTCCTTCGTAACCAAAATAGCACAAGATTAATCAAAGAGCAAAAGTGATAATATAGATGCCTCTGTACTCCTGTGCAGCCTTCACACAACTGGGATGTGTGAATATATATACTATATATTCTGAGAATGTGTTGTGTATACACACACATACACACACACACATACACACAATGCTGATAATGGTCTAAAATAGCAGCATTTTTCTAGTCCAGCATTTATACTACATAATAACACTCTAACACACTGCTGTGTTTTAAAATGACAGCAGAAGCAAAATTTTCACTAATTATACATTTTAGGGCAGCAGCCCTGTTGCAGGTCTTTGGGTGTCTGGGGAGAATTTTGATATATAAATCTTTCAGTGTGGTCTCATTTAAGTGAGGCTTATGGATAAAAAAAAAGAAAGAAACCTTCTGATCCTCACTGCCCAAACGCATCTCTACCAGTATTTTAGAAGGAAAAGAATGACCTGTTAAAGTGGTAGATTCTTTATCCCATTCAATTACTGGATGGAGATGACACGCCACCAAACCAAAGGTGGGTTGAAGCCCCACCACTTAAGATGAGTAAATGTTTTGGACAAGAAGGATCCGGTTGTCATGGGAAGACAGGAGCATGATACAGTGGGCTTTGAAGGCTGAATATGTTCAGTGTTTATGCTGTGGACCATTTATTTTAAAGATCAAATTAAAATTCTTACTCTTAAGAAGCTGTAGTTTGTTTGCCCTGTTTGTTTTTTAGGGGTGGCTCGATCCCCCGCCCCTTATTCCACATCTGTGCTCACACATGTGCCTCATTTTCTGGACAAAGCCCCCAAGTTCAGATGTGCTTGGCTGACCACAGTCTGGTAGTGTCCAGGATCACTCATCTCCCAGCAGCTACCCAACTTTGGTGTCTACAGTTTTTAAACATAAATCCACATCATGGAATCCTAATGTAGTGTATTGTGTTAACACATAACAGTGAGACACGTTATCAGAGACACATAACGTCCATGGAGTATATAGTAACATGGATATTAGCAATTGAGTCTTCTAAGTTTTGCAACCTAATGTGACTGAACAAACACCTGACATTTTGAAAGCTTAATACAATTCTGCACCAAACGGATAAAGACTAGGAAACTGAGAAAAGGAGCATACTTACACGACTGCTAGGCATTATTACTCTGTATAAAATACGACTAAATGAATATTTTCCATATGTGTGATTCCTGCTGATGGAAATTATAGATATAAAATAAACTTCCTGGTCTCTCTTCTGGTGCCTCTCTTAGTAATAGCAACAGCAATTATCACAAAGAATTCCACAAATGTAGGGGTGTTATGATTATAACATAAATAGGAAAAAAACCCTCAAGAGGCAGAAATACATGACAGACTGCATTGTAACACATATTCATCTTGCCATTAAAAGTTAAAGTCTTCCAGAACTTTTCCAAATATGACTTAATTCATCAATAAAAATGATTTTCACTTGCTACAGTGAAATGAAATAAAACAGCATACTTTTGCTAACCAGTTTTAGAGATATTATACATGAAGCCTAAATGGACTCTTTTTTTAAAGTTTGGTGTTTCTACTGTATCCTTTAAATATGGAAAATATCTTCTACATAGCTCAGTCTTAATTTTGCCAGTTTCTGCTGGCTCAGTGGATTTCACAGTTTCGGAAGAGAACAACGTGCAGAGTCCAGATCCAGCATCCACTGCACGGCCGCCCCAGGTGAGTTCTGCCTCAGGTGTCCACCAGGGTGGCCTGATCCACCCAGAGGAAGCCAGCTCCAGTTTCGCCAAGTGGATTATGTGAAATTCTGCACCTTGCATGCATTTCTGTCAGCATCGACTCCTACATTCCCAAATAAAAAGCATCACGAGCAGAAAAAGATATCAGGGGTGAAGGAGAGGGAGAAACAGGTCTGATTGATGGAAAAGGACAAAACGGGCATTTCTCTCATGAGGCACCTGCTTCGTGCAACACTCCCCCCAGGGAAGACTTAAGTAGCTCCAGGACTGAAGGACTTCTCCATTTTCTTCAGGACGAAAGGTTTGAAAAAGTGGACCTTTGCGAGGAAATGCTGCAGACTTCCAAGTTGGTGAAAGAGCTTCCCGCATCGCTTGGATACTCTGGGTAGGAGGAACTGGAGGAGATGATATTTTTGAGCCTCTGGAGGGCAATGATTAAAAGCAGAAGCAGGAAGGCTAAAAGGCTGAGGAATATTGACACATAGATGTAGACATTTGACAGGTGGCCTGAGGATGGGTCCACCGATGTGGACAGGGATGTGGGAAAAAGCTCAAGGAAAGTTCCATTCTCCACATTTCCCGAGAATGCAGATGAAGAGTCAGGTTCAGACATCTTTAGAGAAGGTCAGAGAATGCACAGTCTATTAAGTCAGTTTCACACAGGGGTTAAAAAGGACAGAATCAGCATTCTTTTTGTCACAAGAGCATCAGCAAAAATTGCAGGCAGTTAAATCAGCACAAGAAAAACTCTCAGTTTTCAAACAAAGGTAGCAGGGTATCAGTTGTCCAATGACACTGTGAAAACAGAAACCAAAAAGCCACAGCAACTGAGTGCATTATTCAGAAAAAAATCACATTTAACTCTCATTTCTAGTTTTCATTTCAGGAAGGCTTAAGTGTAAAACTCACTGAGGAGGGAAAAGAAGGAAATAACTTCCCTGGGAACAAGTAACATTTCTGTCTTTATATTACAAGTGATGATATAAAAATGAACTTTTATTTGATCTCCACTGTAGCCTAGGTGTCAGGTTTCTCCAAGAAACCAAAGATAAAATAAAAAGGAAAATACATTTCTGATGTGTTCCATCTGCTGAGATTTCAACAGATGCTTCAAGTGGATGCTCTGAGAATAGGACCCAGAAATTTAGCTCCAAACCTCCCTCCTCCGGAAAATGGATTCCACGCACTCTCCAGCCCACTAGCACAATTCCAGACCAGTGTTTCCTTCTAGCACACTTTGGAGAAATACTGCCCATGGAAGTTTGCTTTTCGTAATTTGCTGATTTGTTTGTAAAAATATATCTCCTTGAGATCAGGAGGCATTTCTACAGATTTCTTTTCCTTTAGATCCACCTATGTACTTTGTTCTGCATATTTTAGGCACTCTATTAAAAAAAAAACCTTTAGATTACTTTAGAAGAATAAAGGTTGGATTTCCTCTGAGTGGCAGAAAGAGTATTCGCTTTGCTGTCAAGAGACTTAAGTTTGAGGCCTGAATTCTCCTGTATCTTTGGGACGTTGGGCAAATTGCCTACATTTTCTGAGCTTCATTTTTCTCATCTGGAAAATGGCACAGCACCTGCCCCATCCCCTCACTGTGTTATATAGGGATCAATTATGAATTGTAAAGATTGGGCCATAATTAGTGTGGAATGTGTGTGTGTGTGTGTGTGTGTGTATGAATGGGTGCAGATGCTCTTGGCCATGGTCTCCCTCCTGATGTGGTCCCTGCGAGGAGGACCAGAAACAGTGGACTGAGATAGGCAGGTAGCCCTGGGACAAAGCATGATTCTCCAGGCTCCAAGCATGGGCTCTGTGTGTCTCAGACACCCTCTCATCCATGACTGGAGAAGTCACAGCCGGTTTCTGCCTAGCGTGTGCAGGGGGGAGGGAAGCAGCCTGAGGGAGAATGATCCCTCCCAATGGATGACTCTCTTTTCTGAATTACAGAAAAGATGTTCTTCCTAGCTCTTTACAGCATTAGATCATTTTGTTGTAAATTTCCAAATTTCCTGGTGTCAGATGTTAGTGAAATGCTGATGCGAAAACATCCACTCTGCCCTGGCTTCCCTTTTCCCTAACCTCTGCCCCTCACTTTACCTTGAAAACTTGCCTTTCCCTTCCGTTCTCCAAATCTCATTAAGCGGCTGAGTCCTTGAGGGGCTGACACGGGCCGCTGCAGCTGGGGCTGAGTGGCACTAATGATCCGTGGGAAGGAGGGGACACTCCTGAGAGGGCTGCCCCGGTCGGCATTCAAGCAGGTCAATGATCTTCCTCAGAGGAAGCCACAGGCAAGTGTCTCAGTACTTCCTAAAATAATTTGACTCCTCCTCCTCATTATGTCTTGCCTGGTGACTTTAATTCCATAAGGCTGCTACAGGCTCCCAACGAGCCTGAAAAAAAGAGAGTGAGAATCACAGTGGGACCGCAAGTGTGTTACACTGATTTGGCAACACCTGGCCTTTTGGAGCTTGGAACTGTCCTAGCCGTTCATCTGTAGGGAAAATTGCAGCATCTCAGAGGCAGCATGATCTACAGGAAAGAAAACTAGGAAAGAATCTCATGGACTGAACTGAAGAAGATGTTCAAGATGTTGTGGTAGGACTTCCTCAATTGAGGTGCGGAAACAGAACAAAGAAGCTGATTGATTTGACAGAAGGAATGTGTCTAATTAGAAGGTAAGCCAGGAGTTTAGGCTCTGCCCAGCCTTACCCTTTATGCCATCTGGTCTCGGCTTTCCTGTCGTGTGGTAGTGAGGATTTCACCTCTTCTTTTTCTGACATGGGCAAGAAGGTAGGTTCCATGCATTTGTGTGTTTCTCACACAAATTAATTTGTAGGGGAGGCAGAGCAGAAAGTATTCTTCCCATTTTGCAGATGAGGAAACTGAGCTGCAAAGACGCTGTGATTGACTCAGGGTTCGCAGCTAATCAGAGACAGAGAATGGACTAGAACCCATGCCTGCATGGTGTTCTTGGTTTCCTCAACTGTGGTAGGAAGAGAAAAGTGACGAGATGTGGGTAATTAGTTCCTGCCTGCTGCTTACATCAGACAGGCCCACAGTTCAGTCTTGATTCTTCAGTTTTTGCCTTTGTCCAGTGATATTCACCTTTCCTACCTCTCCATGAGGTCCTGAGTTAGGATATGATACCACTTCCAAAATCATGGAATTAGAAAATGATAAAAGGCCATCCAATGAAAGGACCAGTTGATAGTTCTTTCTCGATGCCTAGAAAGACCAGAGGAACTTCCATGTCTCTGCTAGTCCAATAGTTCTGACATGTGCAGGTGGGCATAGACTCAGTTGGAATTGGCTGATTTTTTCTAAAACTACTCTTGCTATCCAGATCTGTATCATCTTCTGGGAGGGGCAGTGCTGAAGGCACAGGCAGTGTCACTGGAGTATCAGCAATTCAATGGCAGAGCTCATAATTGGCCACCATACCCCTTGCTAGAACAAAGGAATCTCTTTACAGTGTAAATATTCCAAGAGTTTGTTTCACATCCAGAAGGTCACCTTCTTTCCGACAAAAGCTCACTGTGAGCCTCAAGTGTCTATAGAACAGTTAATGGCAAATGAGGCCAAGAAGGTTTGCGGAAAGCATCTGACCTTCCAAGTGGCCTTGGAAGATGGTAGAAATGAACAAAGGAGACCTTATATCCTTACTTGACATTTCACAATGAAATACCTTCTTTAAACATTCTCCCCACAATATTTAAGATTTAATATTATTTCCAGAATACTTCTTAATTAAAAACAACAGATACACAAATTTCATTTCACTGTTCTGCTTTGAAACAATAGAGTATATGCACTGTTAGAAATGATTTTAATGTGCTGACATGAATCCTCATTTTCTTACTGGAGTTTTAAAAATTGGTAAACCTTCTTTCTCTCTGGGGAATGTTTTGACAGTCTATGTATAATTCTGAGGATGCCCCAAACTGTGTGTGTTTAGGCCCCCTGACGGTGTGAATGAGGTCAAGGGTGGCGCTGTGGAAACCAAATCGAACAAGTGTGTTTCAAGATACTGCTTCTCGGGCTGTTTCTCCCAGACAGATTAGGTCTCAAGAAGAGAAGGATGCGACTTCGTCTTAAATGCATAGCCTTGACCCATCTTGGGGCAGTGACAGCAGACTCTCATTTCAGGTGGCAACCAAAGCCACATGATGCTTTTTTTTTTTTCCTGAGCTATTCTCAGAAAGTGATTTTTGAGAAAGGAAAATGAGACAGTGAGATCCCGATACTATAAATGAAAATCTGTCAGAATGTTGTGGTTCATGGTCCTCCAGCTTTCCCTTTGTCTCTGGGAATAAAGAACCGTGCGGGGAAGAAATCTACAAAAGGCAGTCACCTCCTGACATGAGGAAGGGAGGACGTGTCACCTCACCGTGAGCCCCGGGGGGTGGGCAGCTGGAGGGACAGCACAGACCAGGCAGACCTGGGCTGGGGGTGGCCGGGGGAGCAGTTCTCTGCTTCCACGTCACTCTGGGAATAAAGAACCGTGCGGGGAAGAAATCTACAAAAGGCAGTCACCGCCTGCCTCTGTGACTCCTCTGAAAGGACGGAAGCCTTCCTTCCCGTGGGATGATGAGGACTGTAAAGTTCTGGAAGAACATAGCATACTCTCTGGCGTGAACCTCCATACTTGGTAAAAGGAAGAAGAGCTGACTCAAGGGTCTCCTCTCTCAGTTCCTTCACAGAAGCCTTGTCAGACCCCCAGCGGCCAGCCTGTGGGCGGAACCTCTGTCCTGGCCTTGACATCCAGGATACAGTGATGTACAGACCTGAGTCAGCTTCAAATCGGGCACAGCAACCTCTGAGTTTCTGACCTTTATTTAAATATTTTTCTACGTGAATAACAACTTTGAAAGGTTTTTTGTTGTTGTTGTGGGAAACTGGGACAGGCTGCTTTGGTCCCGTGCAGACGTTATTTAAAGAGTGGCCCTGGCTCTTTTGATGTGGAACCAACATCTCACGTTATCAAGGGCTGCTGTGTCATTCTCCAGGGGTGGTCCTCCCAAAGCACTAGCAACGATTCGATAAAGTATGAACATGACATGACAAAAGGCTTTTTCCAGTCTACAAATGTAAAATGTGATATTATAATGTAATGAACAGTTTTAGATGAGACACTGGATCACTTTCTCTGCAGAACACACAGACCGCTTCCAGAATCTGGAAGGGAACTTATCACCGCTGAGCAAGGCTGTTTTCAGTTCTACTTAGAAAACAGCATGCTTTATACAAGACCTTGAGCCATTCCTTTTCAATTTGCATGATGATCTTTTCTCCTAATGCTTTCTCTTTGCTGAATGGCCTTTTAGGTCATGCTAGGTGAGAGAAGGTTGGTGCAAACACTATACTCTTCTCTAAATGTAAATCTTCACTTGCAGTCAAGGGCAAACACTGACCCCTGGGCTTGCAATAATGCAAATAAAGTTTATTATCGTACTACTAATCATATTCAAAGCTGATCAAGCCCTTCCATATATTTGCCTATTTGAGAACTGCTCCTACTTAATCAATACAACATTCTGGGAGAAGAATTTTGAGTGAAAATGAGTAGAATCACATTAGGATTCCCTGCATCCAGCCTCCGCCCTCCCCCCCACCCCCAAAAAAAAACAAGGAAGGAAAAAAACTTCAGTCTATCTGCTATCAACTCCTGGAGTCAGAGGACCAGCTTATGAAAAGAAATGTTCAGAGATAAAGATTCTGAATAATGCACTGGAATTCATGGTCTGGACTGGATAATGTAAGCCAAAAAAAAAAAATTAAAATGAACAGTCCTC